TTTATGGTGATTACATTGGACAAAGTGTATTGTTTCCTTAAGGCATTTAGTTAAACGAACAAATAAAAATCACTGTTAACCATTTTTCTATTTAACCTATTTAGGCTGAAGGCTTTTATAGCTCCTTGACCAGACCTTAGTTCTGCATGGAGCTGTGTAATTCAGTATTTTTTTCCCTGTTTCGTAAACCTTAGTAAATGTGACTTTGGCATAAAACATGGTAATTTATACAAAGTAATGAGATAAATGAGGATGGGTTTCATGACATAGGCAGGGTTGGATTATACCTCCAGTCCCCTAGGCTGTCTTATGCTGCTCCTTTTTAAGACATATTGAGGTTACATATATAATATATAGTAAAGCATACCTGGACAACCCTCCAAATTATTACGCTCAGGTATTTTCAGTGAAGGGTTATGGTAATGCAACAATATACAAAGGCATGTTAGACAATTGTGCACTTCAAACCTTTGGTTAAAGTCTGAGAAGGTCTTTTTCTGTTCCAGTAGGGCTATCCCCCTAAGCACAAAGCCAGCCCCATAAAGACATTATTTGATGCGTTTGATGTGGAGGAACTTGAGTGGTCTAAGCAGAGCCCTGGAGCTCTAATTGAAAGGCAGGTCTTCTCATCTAACACCAGTACTTGACCACATGAATGTTTTTTTTTTTGAGTGTGCATAAATTCCCAGATTTACACTCCAAACTTGAGGAAAGACATCTCATAAGAGTGGAGGTAGTTATCGCCACAAAGGGTGGAGGGGGATGCTCCATATTATTTTTCTATTTAGAGTTGGATGTCCAACAAGCTAATGTAAGCACTCAATAGGAGACAGTTTTTATTAGAGCGGACATGTTTGTTCCTGTTTGGTCCTCTATGCACCGCAAGGTTACTCAACACCCACCATGACCTGCATTTCACGGCCCAAATATTAAATGTTGGACATAGTGTGGAACCAGCGATATGTCAAGAATTTATCTGCCTATTGCAGCAGAGAGAACTCTATTGGAGGAGAGGCCAGTCACATGACTTTGAAGGGTCAGGTAACTGGGTTCTCCTCCTGGCTTTTTTTTTTCTTACACTCCCAAAGCCACCAGAGAGCTAAGCACATTTGTAAAGCATAAGCTGTGATGTGTCTACAGAAATGCAAAGCCTCTGCTTTTTTGGACAGTATAGTGTATACAGTATATGACAGTTCCACTTAAATAAAGGACTGTTGGGCTGTGTGAAATAAATAGTATGCTAAGGTGTGTGAGATTTCTATTGAGCTGTATTCTGAGCGAGCAGTAAATTGTTTTCTGGATAACTTCAGTGCCCATCATTTTCCAACCAGTGCCAGCTGTATGATCACAGCTGGCACTCGTATATACAAGCCTTAGGGCTAATTTTGCTCCTCAGTAGATGGATGGGTTTATGCTTCCAGAAACATATTAGAAATAAGTACATTTGAGAAAAACAAACTTGCTGTTGTGGTTGTCTTTGTTTTTCTACACACTTTCTTCCTTGCGTTCCATTAAGAAACACCCTGACAGTCTCTTTTCTGCCTGCATCACTAATATCACTAATGCACTCAAAATAGTAATAAAGCAATGTTGAAGTATAACTTCAACTAAAACCTTTTCATTTTTTTAGTCTTAGAGTTCTGAGGAAAAGTAAGAATATGAGGTGTGTCCAGGAAGTTATGATAATGATATTTTAAAAAATTCTTTTGTTGAAAAAGTTTACAATTGAACATTGTCTCCTTCAAAGTATGCACCTTGTGAGTGTGCACGATGCTCCCAGTGATTTTTCCATTCTTCCTAACATCCCTGGAAGTTTTCAAGTGGGATGGCTTTCAGAGCCTGTGTAGTGGCTCTTTGGAGGTTATCCATACTACCAGAATGGTGTTCTTTTAAACCCTTCCTCATCTGTGGGAACATAAAAAAGTCACATGGAGTCAAGTCCGGACTGTAGGGTGGATGTGGAAGCACCGTGATGTGTTTTTCAGCCAAAAAGTCTCTGACAGCCAAAGCACTGTGACTCGGTGCCATGTCGTGATGAAGGATACAAGTTGCGCAGATCTCAGGATGCACACAAAAAACTGTCTCAAGTGACCAAGAACTTCCAAGTAATATTTTTTGATTCACAGTTTTACCAGTAGGTACAAATTCCTTATTGACAATTCCATGTGAAAAAAAAACAATGACCATTGATTTGACTTTTGATTTGCTCATTTGAGTTTTTTTGGGGTGAGGTGACGTGGGTGTGTGCTATTCTGAGCTTTGCTTCTTCATCTCGGAATCGTACACAGGATTCATCTCCCATGATCACTCGACTCAAAAAATCAGGCTCACTTTCCAAACAAGCCAACAGGTTTGGTCAAATTAGTTGATGGTGTTCCTTCTGATCAGGTGACAAGTTCTTTGGAACAAGTTTTGCACACACTTTTTCATGTTCAAATTTGGAGTTACGATTTCATGAACAATTGACTTGGTAATTCCCATTTCCTCTACAATCATTCTGATAGTGAGCTGTTGGTCATGGTTGAGAACAGACCACACTGCATCCACATTGTGTTCCATTTTTGACAAAGAGGAGCATCCTGATTGTTGTTCATCTTCAACACCTTCTCATCCTTCCTTTGTACCATTGGTACACTTGTGCAGATGATAGTACAGCTTCTCCATAAGCTTTCCTGACCATTTCCAAAGTTTCTGGTGCACTTTTACCACATTTCACACAAACGTTTATCACGTACCACTGTTCCAAATTTGCTTGAATTAATTTCTTAATATGAAGCATTTGAACAGGTTATCACAAAAAAGAATGTCTCGACTCTGACAGGGCTGGAATGCAACTGGTCAGTGTTCTAACATATACCTGGCACCCCATCCCAAGTGACCTTGGCCAGCTTCTCCCTTCACAGAGCCCTTCTGGAGCGTAGGAACTTCATTTTCATATTCTGGACAAACCTTGTATCTGTTAGTTTTCATTGATATCTGTGACCTCAATATGAAGATCTTTCTTCACTTCTTTAGTCCAAATAACAACCAAACAGAAAGTGAGGGGATGTTCTCTGGTGTGGATGGAGACAAAAAAAAAAGACAACTATTCAAACCTTTTGGTACAAAAGTAAAGCATATTATCTGTCCCTGTTGAAACAGAGTGTTCCAGACATTTTTTGTCCCATTGACCACTACCACTGAGATTGGAAGTTGTGGGAGATTACCTATAAGGACAAAGGCAGCAATTTATACCTACTTTAATTAAAGCGGAGTTCCACTCAAAAGCCTCCTCCCCCCCTCCACTGCCATATTTGGCACCTTTTGGAGAGGAGGGGGGAGTGGGTATCTGGTTTTGACAGGTACCCGCTCCCACCTCTTGCTCAGTTCGCCCGGTGAAGTGACCCGGAAGTTCGGCCCCCTCCTTGCTCCCACAGTCTCCTTGGAACTTTCACAGGTCCCAGGAGACTGCCGGACCAATCAGGAGGCATGGCGTGACTCTCGCATGCACAGTGGGCATCAGGCTGTAAAGCCGCAAGCTGTCACAGCCCGATGCCCACAGTAGAGATGCCGGTGCCTTGGAGGACAGAAGGAGAGAAGGGACTGCGTGGGTGAGTACATCGTTGGACCCTGGGACAGGTAAGTGTATGTTTATTAAAAGTCAGCAGCTACAGTTTTTGTAGCTGCTGACTTTTAACAAACACAAAAATGGCTGGAACTCCACTTGAAGTATCGTCTTTATTCATAGCCCCTTCCCATGCAAAAAATAAACATTTGTTAAAAAAAAAAACCAAAAAATAAATATATATACTTGCCTTGGCAGATTCTGACACTCTCAATAGGTGATGTAACAATGCACTAAATGGCACTAGAAATCTCATGGAACTTTATTCAAACAATAGGTTGGAGTGGAGCACATTCTTGAACAATACCTAGTTCTCAAGGGAGGCAGCAATAAGGCATGGAGATGCCACCCGTGCCTTCCAAAATCAGTTTTTTTCAATCACTTGACAGAGCTGATTGCCATAGCATTGTCACATGAAGTGAATCACATGCTCTTCCATACCCAGAAGTACAGAGTAACCTTTGGCTCCTGGTGTGGACAAATAAAAGAAAAAAGAAAGTTAAAGTGTTACAAAACCCAGGACCCTCCATTCACTGCATTCACTATATCTGGTCTTCCACAGTACACAGAACATGGGAATACAATTATTTTAGTAAAAATAAACTAAATATCTTTTCTCATCAGCAATATATAGCAGTCTATAGCCTATAGCCTGGTTAGTCACGTAGAAGGAGTTTCAGTCTCCCCTGACTGTCCTATGAGGCTGTATAACCCCTGACCCTCTGTCTGGACAGTGCTGATTGGCCCTGTGCGGATCACTTGCACCCTCCCCCCCAAAAAAAGACTCTCTAGCAATACACACCAAATACAGCATGTGCAGACTTGCCACTGTTGCTTTGTACTATGACAGATGGATTGGGGACAGCAAAGAAAGGGGAGGATCCGAGAAGACAGGATCAAGCAGCATTTTACACAATACGGAGGATTAACCCCTGAGGTTCCACTGTAAGTACTGCATAAGAAGCATTTCTTACCTGCATATACAGACGGATTTTACCATTGCGAGTTTAGTAACACTTTGAGTGTTAAGTATAAATAATATTCTAAAAATAAATATATAGATTCATATATATATATATATATATATATATATATATATATATTATTTATTTATTTTATTGTACACTATATTGCCAAAATTGGGACGCCTGCCTTTCACGCACATTAACTTTAATGGCATTCCAGCCTTAGTCCGTAGGGTTCAATATTGAGCTGGCCTGCCCTTTGCAGCTATAAGAGCTTAAACTCCTCTGGGAAGGCCGTTCACAAGGTTTAGGAGGATGTCTATGGGAATGTGTGACCATTCTTCCAGAAGTGCATTTGTGAAGTGTTTACCATAAGAGTTCACAAGCCCAACCCCTGAAAAACAACCCAACACCTTAATCCCCCCTCCACCAAACTTTACACCTAGCACAATGCAGTCAGGCAAGTACTGTTGCCCTGGCAACCACCAAACCCAGACATGTCCATCGGATTTCCAGACAGAGAAGCATGATTGGTCACTCCAGAGAACACGTCTCCACTACAGACTAGAGTCCAGTGGTGGTGTGCTTTACACCACGGCATCTGATGCTTTGCATTGCACTTGGTGATGTAAAGCTTGGATGCAGCTGCTCAACCATGGAAACCCATTCCATGAAGCTCTCTATGTACTGTTGTGCTAATCTGAAGGCCACACAAAGTTTGGAGGTCTTTAGCTATTGGCTGCAGACAGTTAGCGACTTCTGAGCACTGTGCGCTTCAGCATGTGCTAACCCCAGTCTGTCGTTTTACGTGGACGACCACTTCGTGGCTGAGTTGTTGTTGTTCCCAGTTGCTTCCACTTTGTTATACTACTGGAATATTTAGTAGGAAATTTCATGGATTTTATGGACTTATTGCACACGTGGAAACCTATCACGGTACCACGCTTGAATTTACTGAACTCCTGAGAGCGACACATTCTTTCACAAATGTTTGTAGAAGCAGTCTGCATGCCTAGGTGCTTGATTTTATGCACCTGTGGCCATGGAGCTGGATGGAACACTCGAATCCAATGATTTGGAGGGTGTCCCCATACTTTTGGCAATATAGTATATATAAAGATTAGCTGAAATGTATTGCTTTTCAACAACTAATGCAGGCCATACATGGTTCGAATTCCGAACGATTTTCGCCAGAAAATCGAAGACGTTGTTCGCTTGGTAATCCGATGGTGCCATCAATGATTTCGAAAATCGGCCAACCAAGTCATAAAGTTCACCCCATATAACAGGCGAAACGTCTTTTCCTTCCAGGTCACGGCTCATGCGCATATTCTTTTTGGTAAAATGATCGTACGATTTGACCATCATTCAGTCGAAAATCTGTTGTTTTTCACAAATCTTTCAACATGCCTGATCACCGAAAATGGGAAGAACCATGAAAATCTGCCGGTGCCATTCACCCACTTACAGAGCGAAAATCGGCCGATTATTCTTAGGTCTGATTTACGGATGAAATATCGGTCGAATTTTGACCCATGTATGGCCGGCCTTACGCTTGGTTCACATCTGTGAGGGCGGTGCTGCTGCGGAATGCACACAAATACCTGCAGCCGCACCACCCACACAGAGGAATGCGGGACACGCGGGCACGTACCATTTATTCTAATGGTATGCCACTGGCACTGGAAATAGCAACCATACTGGGAATCTCGGTTACCGTGTGTGCTTAGATTTCCCAAGTAGTGCAGGGACTTCTTCCCTGCGTGTCCTGGGGCACGGGAGTCCATTCAATTGAATGGGCTCTCGTGCCCATTCAAATCGCGGCTTGCATGGCCGTACATATGTGAACCAGGGGTTAAACCCAGCCAGGAAAGTACATTTGCAGGGCTTTGGGCCCACTTTTATTTAAATGTAAAGTTCAAAATAACTCACAGGGTTACTCTGGTGGGGGTTTTCAGCATCAGAACATACATTTTCCAGCCTTCTGACTACCCAGACTTGGTAGTCCCTGAGCCTGTCTTTGCAAAGGTTCACTGTTTGGTGTCAGTCAGCTTTGTCACAAATGAAATACCCAACTGGGCTGCTCATGGTCTAGCCTAATGACACTAGGTCTTCTAATACCTTTCAGGTCATGGTCTAGCCATTTCTCCCAAGATTCTTCCCAGCCTCTGGACTCCGGATCCCAATTCTGGAGTTACCTTGGAGAAAACTGTAAAACCAGCCCCTCAACCTGCACCGTTGAGAACCCTGTATGACATACCACCTGTCTCACAACGTGAAAAAACAGTCGCAAATGTCAACGCGTTTCAGCCAAACTGGCCTTATTCACGAATAAGGTCAGTTCAGCTGAAACGCGTTGACATTTGTGGCGGTCATCTGCTACCTGCCAATAAACACAAGATTGCAGAGTATAGACCAGAGTGCCGGATTTTCTTTGCTTATACTGATTATGTGGATGAGGAGTCAGCTGCCTCTGTCAGAGTATCATTCACTCTGCATACCTACTGTGATCATTATGTCCCCACTGTCCATGTTCAATGATTATTTTATATTATGGAGAGTGTAACAGGGGGAGCTAGAACACACAAAGGTGCGTGGGGACACCCAACAGTCCCAGCTGGACAGGGAGAGCCCAGAACGGTGGCAGGGAGAGCGCGTTGTTGAGGTATCCAAAACATTTAAGCAGCCAGGGGCTGACTCAGCACAGCAAGCATCACCTATACCTCAAATATCACATTTGGGTAGAGTGCGGATTGCAATTGTAATTTACAAGTGCCATAACAGCATACTGAAAAGAAGTTATAATATCCATTAAATCACCTTTCCTTAGTATGCAAATGTAGTAAGGGAGGGCAGCGAGTTTTCAAGGAGATGACTGGAGGTTGTACAGAAGGAACACTGAGGTGGACAGTGAGAAGAATACAGTGAGAGGAGGTGTGTGTGGGAGATTTGAAGACGTGTATGCCTGCAGCAATGACTCACGCTGACTGACAACTTTCAGACCTCATACAATGTTTTAAGATGATACTCTTGTTGAATTAACATTTAAATCTGCTCCAAATCTCACAAAAAAAGAAAGAACCTTGGCAGAAAAATATATAGACATCTGCAGACTCAGAATATTGCAGACAAGGTGTTAAAGAGAATGTAAGGACACATACCTAGGAATTTCAAAAATAGTAAAATTCGCCATACAACGTTTGATCCAGGAGATGAATTCAATTCTCATATAGGCCTGATGCACATGAATTCAGGTGTAGGTGGAAGGCACATGTGTACTGTCTAGCTCTGCTGCCGGCAGCCTATAAATTCTATGAGAGGCTGGCAGCTGCTGCGGCTGGACATTGCACTGAGCGGTACTAACATTTACAGTGTATGCGCCCAGGAACTAATGCACCTAGGTGCAGCAGCTGCCAGCCTCTCATAGAATTTTACAGGCTGCGGGTAACAGATTGGACAGTGCCAATGTGCCTTCCACCCAGTGTTTCATACATTGGGGCTCAACTGTTAAAGATTGGTAGAGGGTAAAGGAAATTTCCACTAGGAAATGTTTACAGAAATGGCTATACATATAACCACTTTAAGACCAGGCCTATTCTAACACTTCTCTTCTACATGTAAAAATCAGGGTTTTTTTTTTTTAGAAAATTACTTACTTGAACCCTCAAACATTATATATTTGTTAAGCGGAGACCCTAAAGAATAAAATGGTGGGTGTTGCAATTAGTTATATCACAAATGCAATTTTTTTGGGAAAAACACTTTAATTAATTTTAATGTACAAAAACTCAATATAATACCCAATTGTTTGGTAAAATATAAAAGATGATGTTACACCGAGTAAAAGCGACGGGAGATGGGGGCGCTTTCAATTTTAAAATATTTTTTTTTATTTTTACACTGTCTCTTTTAAAAAAAAATGTAATCACTTTTATTGCTACCACAAAGGACGAACAACATCCCCTGGGATAACATAAAAGATCCTGTTTACGGAGAGATCTGGGACCCCAGACCTTTCCTCTGCTCTTAAGAGCATCTGATCAAAGCAAGATTGGTGTGATCAGATGCTTTCCCAAGTCAATTTCACTGTGGAGAAATTGAAAGTGACAATACTTGTCACTTCTGTTTTCCTATACCATAGACGATCCAGCCCCCAGACACCTCTATGGTAAGCTGACGGAACCACCGGCTTCAGTCCTGGAGAGCCCAGGGAGGTATCAGAGGGTGGCATAGGAGGGGGGGACCCCTTCCACCTCCGGTAGAAGCAATCCAGTGGAATCATCCCAGTATAACCACTTCAACATACCACATGGGCTGAAATGCTTGATAAGGCACTGTGGATCATAAAGCATTATTTATCATAAAATGCTATTTTCACCCTTTTTCATCCCTTTTTGCACCTCAGTGCTATTGATTAGTCTCTGTCATCAGTTTCCTGTCCACCTGCACTGGATCCAGTGTTGGCTGCTCATCTTTGCTCTGGCCTGGTTTTCTGATAGTGACAGTAGTGGATGATGCTTGTGCATTGGAACGACCACCAGGGGTGTATGTGAGTGACAACACAGGAGCACACAGTAGGGAGATAGAGAACAGAGCATTGTCACCATAAAACTGGAAGTGCCTGAAGTAGGCCTTCATACATGAGGGATTATTGTAATGAAAGCTATAAATTGCAGCCTCCGTAATCTCAGTACAGGTTTATTTTAATGTTAGGCTGACTTCAAAAATGACTAAAAGAAATTATTATATTACCTTATACAATGCAAAAAAAAATGCATTCCATTTTATCTGCTTCTACATGAACCTCATCGCTTGTGGTTGTGTGAATAATAGGGCTCGTTCACATCAGTGTTGTACTTTATGGTACACATAAAATGCGTGCTGCAATGCGTTATAGGAGGGCTCAACAAATCCCAGGCTCCAGGTCACCATGGCGACTAGAAATTGTGTCCTGGCACCTGGGTTCACACACTGCCTTCCATTGACTTCAATGCAAAATCATGTCTTATAGACTTCAATACAAAATCGAGTCCTGTTGACTTCGGTGTAAAATTGCGTCCCATTGACTTAAATGCAAAAACACCTCCTACTGACTTCAAAGCAAAACCATGTCCCATTGACTTCAATACAAAAATGCCTCCCACTGACTATAATGCAAAATCACCTCCCTATGACTTCAATGCAAAAATGCCTCCCATTGATTTCAATGCAAAATCGCCTCCTATTGACTTCAATGCACAAACTCCTGTCAATAGCAATAATATTTACTTACTTCTGCATGCCACTATACTGTATCACTTGCGAGTCTGGAACACACCACTACAAACTCACACATGATGCTTTTCATAATGGCGCTCAAAACACAATGCGTTTGGATTGCATCTATGTGTACCACCTCAATAGAAACACATAATATCTAACCTGTCATGTGAATCTGTGAGTTTGAAAATGCATTCAGAATCGCATATGTGTGATCCAGGGCGGCTTCATTCACACCTGGGCATTTTGGGATCACGGCTGAATCGCTGTGATCATAAATCGCAGGTTCAGGTGCCATTATTTTCAGTGGAACCTAAAGCGTGGTGCGATTTTGCAGTGATTGGTGTGTGGCAAATCGCATTGAAGTTGCCTTGCTCTGGACGCTAACAACCCACACTGCACTAAAATAAAAAATCACTAACTTTTTTAGCTGGCTCCTAGATTCAAAGTAAATTTGTCAGGCCCTGTGTTATAGAATGCCAGAACACACTACGGAAAAATGCATTATGCTGTATTCTTTTTCAGCGTACACCAACACAGTTGGGGTTGGTGTGAACTATAACAATATGACATAAGGCAAGTTGCCTTGTCTGGGCATTGGTCCTGTGTTTTTATCACAGCGTAGACTAGAAATTTAGATACTGTTGGAACTGTGCTGGACAAAGTTGCTCCCTTCATTTTCTAGTGCTGTGACACCAGCTGCTGGATGATTTTGGCACATAAGAAATGTTTTCATTATCATATCCTTCAGAGTCAAAGCATTTTT